AAATCAAAACAAACTTTCTGTCAATTTTTTAAAAAGATGATAATTAAAGCTTTACGATACCCCCTTATATATGGCCATTATTAACATGGAAAATTCATGACATGTAGAAATTTCCAGATTATGTTAATTTAACAGGCAAATTTCATAAGGCTGCTTTGCCTTGTGAAAGAATTTAAAAGAAAAGTAATAAGAGTTAAGTATGCCTATAACTTCCACTGAAATCAATAGACCACATGCCAGGGCTGATTACAGCCTCATCTTCTGTCTGTATCCTCTCCGTTCAAAGAATTTGAGGGCTGAAAGGATCACTGCGTTGAGGTAGATATTAATTCATATGGGCTGGATAGACCACTGGTCTGATTACGTAGAAGACTTTGACTGGATCTTGCCCAGTAATTCTTGAATTACAAGCCTTTATATGAGTTTAGTTTGAGGTAGCCTATTTGACTCCCTTCACAGATACTGCATGTGTGTGTGTGCCTTCAAGTAATTTCGGACTTACAGCAAACCTATCACAGGGTTTTCTTGGCAAGATTTGTGCAGAGGGGGTTTGCCTTTGCCTTCCTCTGAGGTTGAGAGTATGATTTGCCCAAAGTCACCAAGAGGGTTTCCATGGCTGAGTGGGAATTCAAACCCTGGTCTCCAGAGTTGTAGTCCAACACTCAAACCACTACACCATGCTGGTTCTCTACATAATAGAGGAGTTTAAATATGTTTTGATATTACAATAACTAGCAAAGCATATTTTGCTTTCAGACGATATCCAATTTAGTTTTCTGCTAAGCAGGATTCATCAGCCAGGGAAGTCCAAATCTTTGCCAGAAACCTGGAAAGAGTACTACCATTGCAGGTGGAGTGGAGTATGGTAAGCAGGGAGGTGAAATTTTGGACTGTGTTTCAGCGAGGATCCTTTCCTATATCCACCTAGGCTTGCATTTTACCCATAATGTGGCACCCACATGGTTAACTCTGGTAGCCCTCAAAGCGTACTGTGTAGTTTGGCACAAACAGCCTCCTCAATTCCTGAGGGAACTTCTGGGAGCTTAATTTTTGCTGATGATGTGAGGCTGGGATGCGTGGCGGCTGAATCAGAGCTTGCCCTCCTCTCCCCCTGCTGAGTGCTGTATCTTTACTAAGAATGAGCATTTCCATTTATAGAACCCTGCCAGTTGGGCTGATGTCATCACCACCCCACTAGCTTGGTAAACACAGCCGATGTATGTGTGTCTTGTGTGCTGCTTCCTAGGGAAGGGAACAAAACAGCTACTGGGCCACTACTGAAGCATCCCACTTGGCAGGGCCACCTAGCCAATGTCTAGTGCCTCAAACTATGTGGCATCCATGGCTCATGGGTAATGAATGAAGCCATCTCTTAGGGCTTTCCTTCCATGCAAGGAAAGTGAAGCTTCAGGGTGGATGCTGCATTTCTTTGTGCTGGTGAGGGTGGCTTCAGAGAGGTTTCCCGGTGTGCCAAGGCTGCCCATGGATGACCGCTTGCAATATTAAGATGGCTGGGCTGAACACAACAATAGAGTGGTGCAAATGAGTGAAGTAACATCTGCAACCCAATCAACAATTTGATTCTGGATAGAAGGGACTAGCTCCTTTGTTTGCATATTAGGGGGTAATACCATTGCCTTGCTGCTTCAGCAGAACATATTCAGCTCACCACTGTGGGGCATTGGTACAGCACATGTTTTGCTTGCAGAACATCCATGGGTCAATCCCTGGCATCTCCAAGTAGGGCTTGGGAAGCATCTGTCTGGAATCCTTCATTGCTGCTGCTAGTCAGAGTTGGCAATGATGGTCTGGCTCAGTGTAAGGCAGCTCTCTCCCTGTGTTCTTATACTTGTACAAACTCCACGGGTTCTCTATAACATTTCACCTCCACCTGTATGGGCTGCTGCCATAAAATAAAGAATTGCCTCAGTTTTCAAACTGTGGGACTAACCCACTTTGCAAACATCTGGTTTTCTTGTGGGAAGTGCATATGCCAGTTGCAGTATATTTCAATGGCTGATTTAGAGAGAAGCTCCTATCTGAAGGTCAACACAGGGCTTTTAGATGAATGTCCTCCTCCATTTCTTTGTCATTCAAAATACTTGTTGGCTACTCTCAACTACTGAACAGGCAGTAAAAGCAATCCATTTACCAATTTTGTGTATTATTATCCTCTTCAAGAACAAACATGGCAAGACAGCATGTCTTATATATGTTGCAGCCACCTACAGTTTCTAAATTGAATGGGTTTACATTCTCTTGCCTATCTGCTTCCCCTCTATCCCAACTGTTGAAGACGTTGCAGAAATTTGCAAGATCTTGATACTTTACTGGATCTGTTGCCTTACAGATGGTTTTTAAAATTCCACACAGTACCACCTCAGATTAATTAATTTCTTATCCTCTGGATACAAATACTTTGACACCAACTCATGCAGCACAAAACGCTGGGGTGGGTGAATGGGGATAGGAATAGGGTTGATCTACAGACAAGGCACCTGGCAACACATCTGCCATCATTGCCTTCTAAACCTGATTCCTTTTCATTTGTGTGTGCACACTATCTAACAGGTATATGTTGAAACTGAGAGAGAGAAAAACGTAAAGACATCCAGTGGGAAGAAGCTTTCAAGGTCCAGCAGCCCATATTTGGTTTATGCATGCTTCCCTGACAGTGTATCTGCCCACGCAGCACAGACTGAAATGCAAACATTAGCAAAATACAATACACAGATGTGTGCACACAGGCGAGATTGAATACAGAATAACCGAATTTAATAAATTAATCTTTTTTATTATATTAATGCTCATTGATTTACATTGTTAATAAATGGAAATTAGAAAATTACAAACACTGCTTAGGTAAGGATTAAACCATTCTAACAGACAGAGGAAAATAAGCAACAGAATGTCCTCTGCTTGTTCAAGATAGAATAATGTATGCTGTCAGATGCATCCAACTAACAAATTAAAGGTGCTTTTCAAAATTTTAGTGTGATGCTGAATGTTTGGTAAAGCCTCTTAAGGCAGAGATTTAGGAGCAAAGCTCTCGCTACTCGTTTCTCTTAAAGATGAGTTTACTCTCCCAGCATCCTAGGTAGGTTTTATAAAAATTTAAAAATAAAACTGAGATTGCATAAATACTTATTTAAATATGCCCTAAGATGTTTAGTACCAGCTGTCAGTTTGTTTGGTATCTGTCTGTTTGGTCCAGAGTGAAAATGAGACATGATTTTTTTAAAAGTCCCAATGAAATGAATGGGAGCTCTTTTCAGTGGGGCGTGTAAAGAGGAATTTCTTCATGGATTTTAACTTAGTGATGAAATAATTCTCTCTACTATGCTGATTTGCTGTCAACATTAGATTCTGTTTTAATATTGAATAGCTAGAGGCTTTAGTTACTGAAAAGAACCAGTACTGTTAAGCAAAATGCACTACTCCAAACAAACTTTGGCACTCTGAAATTGGAATGGGGGAGTCACATTTACCAAAAGGTAAAGATTCACCTGAGGGTGTAATGGGGTTGGGAGCCAAATGCATCCACACTTCTGTTGTCAGCCAGCTACTTAATAGCGTCCTTGGGTATGCCCTTCTGCTTTGGTTTGCTCTTTGTAAAATGGGAACAGGGGCATCGTACACTTGACTGGTGCAGGGATAAACAAGACAAAAGGAAGCAAAACCTATCTACATTATACAGTTACAGGAACATGTATAGTGCTGCATGGAACTGGAGCAGCCATGTTTCGGGGCCCTGTTGTAATGCCTCTGGAAGACAGAAAGTTACATTAACTCTCTGCATGCCCTGAACCAGTAGCCCCTCTTGGCTGGCTAGATGAATATCAACTGGCCTGGTGCAATGGGAACAAGGAAAGGATCAGTAGCAGCATTGGGGTCAACATTTGTGGTAACCATAGAAGTAAGTGTAGCATCACAGCAATGAACTTGGCAAACTGTATCACCTGTGTTTTTGGTTGTGTGTGAATATACTTGTGCATACGTGGGGGGGAACTCTGCTGTTCCACTGTGGTTATTCCTCATGAGGACAGCCCCATATGGTGAAAGAGAAAGGCAGGAATAACACTGAAACCTACCAATGTTATCCCCTCCATTGCATCTTCATTTCACTATGTGGGAATGAATGAGTAACCACAAAGGAATGGCACATATTTCCAGAGCTTGGAAAATGACGTTTTGGACCACAATTGCCTGAATTCCCCAGCCAAAATGGCCACTGGTGGCTAAGGGATGCCAAGAATTGTAGTCCAAAAGGTAACTTTTCCAAGCATTGCACATTTGCCACCTACTAATAAAAC